GCAAGACACGCAAATACCCAAGGAGAGAGAGAGAGTGTGTGTGTGTGTGTGTGTGTGTGTGTGTGTGTGTGTGTGTGTGTGTGTGTGTGTGTGTGTGTGTGAAAGACACACATCTGATTGATGGGTGGGAAACAGTAAATTAGAGGTTTTTAAACTCTAGGCCCAAAGGAGTCATGCAGCCCCTCATGCGGTGACATTCAAAAGTGTATCAAGAATTCATTTTTGTCACCTGCCCACCTACATGTCTGTGTGCATTTGGTGTTTTGTCTCTTTGTAAAATATCTCATGACCCGGGGAACAGATTTTAATGAAACTCCCAGAAAGTGATCAATGTGTCTACATCTACAACTGATTCACTTTGAAAGGAATACAAGATGTCTGCCACAGCTAACGGACCCTAAAAACATAAAATACTCGATAAATCAGCCTGTTGTATAGATACTGAGTATTTGAGAGTAATTTACAACCCATACTCTTGAGCACTACATATTTTTATTTAATGTTTTTTTTTTGCTTAAACTTTGACATTACCTGTTGGAGTCAACCCTGTCTTTTAGCAAAATATCTGCTGAACCACTGGACAGATAATTATAAAACATACATTAAGTGGTTGTTGGATGTACGTCTATGAATGATTACATTTGGCGTCACCCCATTTCCAGATTGTCACCACAGCTACTTGACGTTATAAAACACAAAAACAGCTGCAACGTAGTTGGTTTAACAGATATTAAGCTAAAGTTTTGTGTATTCGTACCTGAGAGTCATCTACAACACGCAGTCTGAGTGCTAAGAGACACAGTTTATACAGCATGAGCTCACATCTAACATAATTTACCTGGATTTAACAACAATAACTTCTTTCTCATCAAACTCTGCTCATGTAAGGAATGCTAGCACTTTAATTTGTTTATAAATTTACTTCAAAATAAAAAAAATTCCATTTACAGAATCTCTTAGCAGATTAAGCCCAGATTTATTGTACGGTTAAAAACCACAAAGCCAGTTCCAACTTAAGCTTTCATCGCTCTGCATTCATTATCCATTCACAGAACTAAATTAGCAGCTAATTCACTGATGCTTTTTTTTCAGAGTGTAAACTTCAGGGAGAGGACTATTTAAATAAAGCACACAGAGTGATTTACTAAAGTTTGCTCTCACAAGTCATCACCAGTTTCAACTTTGGTTTCTGCCAGTGGGAAAAAAAAAGCTTGTCTTTGTTTTTTTGTTTCTTTTCTGCACAGAGCGTAAAAAAAGGTGTTGTGCAACTCGAAAGGGAGAAGAGAATGTGTCTCCATTTGTGCAAATGTACCGTATTTGAAATGCAAGATGGAGCTGTTATCAGAACATCTGCCAACTCAGGTTTATCTCAATTTAGGCTTATGGCAGAAAAAAAAGAACCTGACAACAAATTCCTGACTAAAAGGAGTTTGTACAGTACTTCCTGAAACAAAACTCTGCAGCTCTTTGTTTGTAATTTCCTTTTTTGCATTTGTGTGTGTGAACATGCCATAATTTATTACCATTTTCATTTGATTTGCTGAGTGCAGAGAAGAATAATCTAACTAAATGGTGAGGATGCACTGCACGTTTTTATTGACTCGCCTTCTGGAGTATTACCTGTTTAGAGACAAGCTTTTATTTACTCAGGCATTAAAGAAGCTTTAGATATGTGGTCTATCTGATCCTAAATTTAACTTGATCTCTGAGAATATAGACATTTGTTTATCAAAGTAGACAAGATATAACGGTATTTGTTTTTAGTGTGAACCAACAGAATGCATCTTAAGTACTGGATCAGTTTCATGGTTCTGATATCAGATTGTTAGAATATTTAGGAACATGTTCCTGAATAAGTTTGAATTCCCAACTGAATAACTTTTTGAACTTTTAACATTTTTTGTGATGTAATCTAAATAAAATAATAAAATTGGAGAGCAAAAAAAATTTATTAAAACAATTAAAAATGTCTTCACATTGGACTCCAAGTATGGTGCATTCTTCTCCTTAATGGGGACTCATACACCAGCTGTAAATGTACAGACGTGGATAAAATTGTTGGTACCCTTCCATAATAATAAAATAATTTAAAAAATACAACTAATGTCTGTGGCCAAAATGTTCTGCTTTCGTTTCATCAGTCCTTAAAAACTTCTCTCAAAAGCTTTGGGGTTTGTCAGAATTCATGTTGGCAAATTCCAATCTGGCCTTTTTAGTTTATCTGACTATAGTTGAACCCTGCTGGGTCTTTGTTATGATTCACAATGTGACAGATGCTGAGCTCAGGAAGTGACATATTGACAAAATTTGTCTGGTCCAGTCCTGGCCCACACAATGCACTAACGCCAACACTTAGCCCAGATACCACAAAGAATGACGACCTGTTGGTGGCCCAGAAGTGGTCCGTGAATGGGTCACCATTACATAAACCAAACCACATTCCATATAAAAAACAGTACCGTCATTGCCAGACCTGGCCCACATCCAGTCGACGGACCACTTGCCATGCCAGCAGTTAGCCAGCTGGACACCAGATGTGGTCCACACCTGTCTGCTGTGTGGGTGACCTTGCAGCTCAGCTTGAGTGGTTTGTCTCTTTTTCTACATTCCACACCATCATCTGATCAGCCTGGGGTTGCAGTTCCTCTTGGTCCAGTCCTGTGAATCTTATATGTTTGTAATAATATTGGCAGCTGTGGCCAGAGGAACATGAAGTTGCATGGAAATCATCTTTTGGCTTTAACATGGATATTTATAATCCTCTTTCTGAGCTCCTCAGACAGCTCTCGCCTTTACTTTCTGCTCCATGTTCAGAGTGGCACCCACAGTGATACAAATGACCCAGTGTCATGTTTTTCTCTTTGAACGGGCTGAATGAATGATGAAAAGCTTGAAGCTGTGATACTAATTATGATCAAATGCTACATCGATGATGTAAGGATTATTAATCTCTTTAAGGGTACCAACAAACCGCTGTAAAACAAACAAATCATGTCTTTTCACATTTTTTTGTTCACTCCATTAAAGCTAAAAGCAAGAAATGAAGCATTGTCTCAAACAGCTGTGAGGGTAGCAACAAATTCATTTGGATCTGTTTGTGTTTCTGCCTCTTCCTGTGAAGTGAAAACAGGCTCGGCTAGCAGCAGTAAGAGCGAAACAGAGACCCACCTTGCCTAGCTGCAGGTCAGATATGGAGCAGGCGTCGATGAAAGCCTGAGCGATGACGGACAGGCAGGCGTCCATGTGATCCGTCTTGTCAATGTCAAACACAAACTGAGGGTTCTTCAGGATGTTCACCCAGAACCGCAGCGGTAAACTGCACAGACAGGGAGGGGAGGTTAGAGAGGAATGACCAGAGGAGACTTCACCCGTAATGTTTACTCAGCTACCTATTCGTTTTCCAGATGTGCAGGGTGTCTGGGTCTGTGATGCCCCGTTTGTTGGCCTGCTCCTCGAGGAAGTCAAAGAAGTATTTGACAGCCAGAGGCGGGCGGTCCAGAGGAATGCTGAGGATGGCCTGAAAGAGGTCATCTAAGAACTTCTGCAGAGTTCCCTGTGGAGGAAATCAGCATAAAACTGTCTTCAGACCTAATTGTGATGAGATGGAAGATTTTCTGTGTGGTTTCACGAGTTGTTCATGAAAACCTGACAGGAAGATGAATAATGTTTAGACTTGATGTTGCTGTGCAGGCAACACCAGTAGCCTCCAGCCTCTGGTTACCTTTGTGGACAGCAGGCGTGTCAGATAGATCTCTGGCAGGACTTTCTTGCGGTGGCTGTGTCTGTGGGACCTCTTGGTCTCTATTAGCTCATCATGAGGTAGAACCTGGAGAGTCAAAAAGCTCGACGTCAGTGTGAACAGGTCAAACCGATGAACCGCGCGCCAAAATAAAGACGCTGATGTTTCCGCTGGACGAGCAGTCAAAGTGGAAGTTTCTGCTTCTTGCATTGGACACACGGTCTAACTCTTAAATTATACACATCGTCAGCATTTGTTCAAAACCTTTCTAACAAACAGAATTAAGGAAGCGGGGTTTCTCCGGTTTCTAGGAGTCTGACTTGCTCATACAGGTCCAAACTGAGACGGGGAGAAAATAAAAAGGAGTAAAATCCACCTACTGTGCTCCAGATTTGTTCAGAACTGTCCTGCAAAACTAACTATTCACCCGGCAAATTGTGTTCCAGGAAACTCATTATTCTAAAGTCAAAAGGGCCCATATCTCAGCTGACGTTTATGAAGGAGCTTAAGCAGCATTAGTGCTGTCATGTCCTCTCAGCAGCTTTCCTTCTCACCTCCTTTCACCCCCCCCCCCCCCCACCACCACCACCACCATTCTCTCTTCATCAGGCCGGCTCTGAGCTGACTAACTGTGGCACACAGGAAAAGCTCTGCTAATGCATTAAAGAAGAGAAAAAAAAACTCACCAAGTGTACATATTTCTCTGTATCCAGATCTTTGACTGGAAAAAAAGAACAAAAAACAAATATAAATACAGCATTAAACAATGTGTAATTAGTGTGGAGAACAAGAAAAAAAAGAGGAGAGGTGAGGAGGAGGAAGCCCAAAGAGTGACAGCGAGGAGCAGACAAAGATTGACAGGAGAGTAAAGGAGATGGAGTGCAAAGGAGAAAGAGATTAGGATGGACTGAGAGCCTGAAGGGGAGGGGAGGGGGGGCTGCCTGAGAGAATGAAAGAGAAAGATTACGAGTGAAAGGAGGGAGAAAAGAGGAAGATTAGGGGAGACAGACACACAGAGTCTGCGACTGGTGGTGGAGCCGCTGTAATGAGATGGTAATTCTCGGCCAACGCTGGGAACAAAAGCAACGGAGCTGGATGGTTTATATTTAGATCTAAACACAAACATTCTCATACACACTGCATGAACAGATATGAGGATGAGGATGGTCGTAGATTCGTGTTCAAACAGGAGTAGAAGTACAAAACCCAAAAGGCAAATTTGGAAAATCGGCATGAGAGTGGGAGCTAAAACAACACAAGCATATGCACACACACACACACACACACACACACACACACACACACACACACACACACACACACAGAGCGAGTGTATCCTCATTACAACCCACTCTGCCAGAGATGCTCCAGTCCAGCAGGCCACAATCCAGACCACTGATCACAGGCAGCCAGGACACCGTTTCATATTAGCCAGGGAGCACTACGAGCTCATAACAAACCAGCCACCCCACCCCCCACTCCCCTCCACGCTTTGAAGCAGGAGCCAGGTTTGGTGCACTTCAGCCTTTTTAAAAAAAATTTTTTTTGGCACAGAGCGAAACGGCTCTGACGGACGCCTCCCGAGCCGAAACCAGAGCTGGTTTGGTGCTGATTATGTCAGGTGGATCCTCGACAGCAAACAGGAGCCCATTAAAGGCTGAGTGTAAACTCATCTGTCAACAGTCAGAGCTGGGCTGACGCCGGACAACGAGCCAACTCATGTCGCATTTTTTCCCTCCATAAGCTGACATCTACTAATGGAGTACAGCTACAACATGGAAACCAGAGCGTTGTCATTATCCTGAGAGTCTGTGTAGGGGTTTATTGGGGGCGAGTGTGTATTTTGGGGATGTGGGGCTGTTTGTATGTTTACACGAGTGGATTATGTTCTAGTGAGTTTTCTGTGACTGTGTGTGTGTGTGTGTGTGTGTGTGTGTGTGTGTGT